GCACTGTATCAAATACAGGGAAAATGGGGATTATACCATGGAGCGGGAAAGCATACAAAAGAAACAAAAAAAAATCACATAGTACATTGTAAGTATCTTGAAAACAACAGCAAGAAAGATAAAAACCTCTTGTGTCCCTATATTAGGGTTCATTTCACTTAGCATCATCCTATAAGATCATATGTACATAGCTTTTGATCTTTTCTGCTGTCCTAGACATACACTAGTTATTGCAGATAAGAGAAACCATGGGGCTGTTTCTTTGGGCCTGGCTTACTTCACTTAATATAATTTTGAAATTTTATTTTAAATCCTTGTTTTCTTGTCAAATCATTGTTTACCTACTTTTTTTTTTACTAATAATCAATTTTAAAATAGTGGTCCAGGGAGATGTGTATGTCTTCGGAGTATTTAAATCTATATTCTTATTCTTCATCAGTATAGCATTGCTGTACTTTTATTAAAGTTTTGTCCTTATTTCCTAAGAGGCAAAAGTAGTAGGTAGACATGTGTATGAGCAATGGTAAGAATATATGATTAAATACTAAGGAGAAAACACTCTTCATTTCCATACTTTTCCTATTTCAAATATGTGAATGGTTCCTGAGTTTAAAAGTTCATGTCTGCATTTTCATTATTTTACATTCTCTGGAGTATAGTCCTTTTGATTGTGTGGCATCTTTTTGCTTAAAACAAAAGGCATAATTCATTTAGGTCTTCTGATATCCCTGTGTTATCAGCATAATTTTTCACATTTGTTCAAACAGTCTCAAGAGCCCTCCTAAGAGACTTGATGCAATGATAAATGGCCGCTCTTTGTCATGACGTGGAACAGCAGAGGAGTGTAGATCCTAGCAGTCAGACCTAAGCATAACTCTCCATGCCAGCTGGATTGGCTTCCTCCTATGTCCATTGACAAAAAAATTGTACAGTTAGAAGCAATAATAAAAACAATGACTTCTTTGTTATCACTGCAGATGTTGTATAAGGAAAACACCTTCAAGTTATCTCTTATCTTAGATTTTAATTTCTTCCTTCTTTTCTTTTTTTACTTTCTCTCTTTCTTTCTTTCTTTCTCTTTCTTTCTTTTCTTTCTCCATGTCTGTACATCTGTATCTGTCTCTATCCCCTTCTTTCCTTCCTTCCTTCCTTCCTTCCTTCCTTCCTTCCTTCCTTCCTTCTTTCCTTCCTTCCTCCCTCCCTTTCTCTCTTTCTCTCTTTCTCTTTCTTTCTTTTTCTCTCTCTCTCTTTCTTTCTTTCTTCCTTTCTTTCTTTCTTTTTTTCCAGTGGTAGAGATCAAACTCAAAGCCTTGCAAGTCCCTAGGACCTTTTGCTTTTAGCTTTATTTCAGATAAAGTCTTATTATCTTTTTCCCAGGGCCAACATTGAACTGCCACCTTTCTATCTTTATCTCTCAAGCAGCTGGAATTACAGGTGTGCACAGCCATGTCCAATGTTGCTTGTTCATTTTCAGTGATAAATCCCTTTCAGTATGTGTTCTTAAATCACTTAGCTCATTCAAAAACTCAGCTTCCATATCTATAAGTACAGATAAGAACTACTTTATCCAATTGATATCATTATTAAACCAAAACAAAGAGATTTGGTTTAAAAAGAAAAACATTCCTACAATAAACATTCTACAAGAAATGTACATCTATAAGACCTTGCTAGCTGTTTTGAATCCAAAGACACACTTAACTTGTTTACTCAATATAGTATTTTCTAACCAAACTGTGATAGAAAAGCATTCCTACGGAACCTGAAAGAAGGTAAGTAAGGGGCTGGGAAGGTGGCTCAGTGGTAGAGCTCTTGCCTTGCATGCTCAAGGCCCTGGGTTCGATTCCTCAGCACCACATAAGCAAAAAGAAAAAAGCCGGAAGTGGCGCTGTGGCTCAAGTGGTAGAGC